GTGAGTATTAGCACTGACAGGAACTCCAAATATTTGAGGACTTTTGCTTTTAACTTTTTTATTAGTTTATTGAGGTATAAAATACAAAGGGGGAAAAAGCATAAAAGCATGAAAAAGTAAGAAGAGAGGTAGGGAAAAAGAAGGGATTCTTTTCTAAATATAGAAAAGAAAAAGGCACTGACATCCTACTCTTTTTATTTTTTTTTAGTTTTAAACAAACATAAAACAAACAAACATAAACACAGACAAAGTATAAAAACCCTTCTCCAATTACTTACAGTGTGTCAATTGGTTACAAAACTTTTGTGCTTCCTCACAACAGTCTTCACTTGCAATTTACATAAAGTCAATCTAATATATATGTATACAATTATTATGATTATTAAACATTCATGTGACTATAACTGATTATTACATCCTTATTATTAAATTTAAAATAAATTTATATTATGGAATTTCATTACATCATCCTGAAATCATCTGATAGTATTACATCTTTATATTTTATTCTATATAGTTATTTATCTTTTATAACAAAGCCTCTCAGCCTCTAGGTGTTTCCAAGCCTCTCAGCCTCTAGGTGGCACCATTACTTCTGTTTCCTCTGCTTTTACCCCTCTCTTTAGATTCCAAGCTTAGGGGGGGAAAAGAAATTCTTTAAAAAAAAGACAATCCAGCTGAGCGTTGAAAAAAGAAAGGAAAGGAATTCATAATCCACCAATATGAAAAAAGGAAAAAAATAGAAGAAGGAAAAAAGAAAAGCAGTCCAATTTAAAAAGTAAGAGGCATTTGTAAAAATTCCATCCCGCCAAAAAAAACCAAAGTTAAAAAAGGATAACACCCTAAGTTTAATACAGGCTTAATTCACCACTTACTCTCTTCTGTCTTCAATTTTAATTTTGCTCTAAGTCTTTTTGGGTGTACTCTAATAGTAAAAATTTATCTCACCATTTCGACACACACTCTCTCTCCTGCTTTTCTTCCATTCAAGGGCTGTCCCAACCTTCTGCAGCTTAATGGTTGCTTCTCATTGTTGCCAGAAAAAAGAGCTTCTCCTGGATCAATCAGGGACTTTTCGATGTCCCTGAAATCAGCAGGATGTATCCTTCTCTATCACCGTCTCTACAGGACGGTTTGGGTCCAAAAGGACCATCCAGCAGCAGAGATATCGACAGCAATCTTGGAGCTCCAAGATTGCATGTCATGTCGTTGCGACGTTAGCCTGCCCCCCTGACATCTGACTCTTTAGAACAGTAGAAGGTAACAACATTACAACCACAACTTTTTGCTTTTACACAACAGTATGCACATGCCATTTCTATAATAATAAGCCTGTCTAGTTTACAAAAACAAAATCAATTTCATTTTTTCCCCATTGTAAGCATCAAATCTGGAAGCCATTTCAAAATTGGGACAAAATTAAATATATTCTCTTCTTTGGATTGAATAAAAATCATTAACTATTTCCGCTTCTCTTTGCTGTGGGGGATAATATATCATTCATTCTTATATTTTCAAACCTTGTCAATAATATTTTTTTTGCTTCTTGATTACAATGAATTTCTAAGTAGGGAGTTAATATTCGTGAAGAAGGGCCACAGATGCTTCACTGAGGAAATTCCTTTGGTTTCCAGACATAAATATGCATAAATATATAGCCTTTCCAACACACTGCTTTAAATAAATATATCCAGACCAACTTTACAAATATATTGTTTCTGTTTCCTATCTCCACAAAGGCCAGAAATGATCATTTCTGTGTGTATTGGAATAAGACTGAAATTTTCATTCCTTTGTCTCTTTTTATATATGGTCATTTTCAGTACTTTTAAAGCTACAATAGCTGCATTGCATTAACTGGAGGCCTATTTTGAAAAGGGTACATAAGAGAGCCATATATTCCTGACTGTCTGCTTATTAGCTTCATGTAGGCATCTGTTTACCTTCAGCTAGAAGAGTGTAAGCATCTAATTGAACAACCTGACTCTGAAATCATTTCTAAGCAATGATACCCTGAACAATTATAATGAATTGTCCTCAGGCAAAATTAAACGAGACAGTGTGCGATGAGCTTGCCTCTCACTGGCTGATCATGTATCTGTGCAATCACCCAAACCATACAGTTTTCCACTCATTATGCTGATAAGGGGCTGGGAACCTGCATTAGCTTCTATCTGGAAATGATGCTCAAAGGAGTAAGCCGATGTAGAATGACCAAAGCCTTATAAATCCTAGGAGGACTCTGGACAAAAAAAACCCCTTGGAAATTGAAGTGATTAGTTCAAATATCTAATAGAATAGAATATAATTCTTTATTGGCCAGTGTTTTATTGGACACACAAGGAATTTGTCTTTGGTGCATATGCTCTCAGTGTACATAAAAGGAAAAAGTGCATTCATCAAGAATCATAAGATACAACACTTAGTGATAGTCATAGAATACTGATAAGCAATCAAATCATATTAGGAAACAAACAGAACAATATAAATCGTAAAAATACAAGCAACATGATATAATCACGTGGGAAGAGATAGGTAATAGGAAGGATGAGAAGAAGAATACAGGTAGTCCTTGACTTATGACCACAATTGAGCCCAACATTTATGTTGCTAAGTGAGACAGTTGTTAAGTGAATTCTTAGCTGATTTTATGACTTTTCTCACCACCGTTGTTAAGGGAATCACTGCGGTTGTTATGATAGTAACAAAGTTGTTAAATGAATCTGCCTTCCCCATTGATTTTGTTCATCAGAAGGTCACAAAAGGTGATCACATGACCCCAGGACACTGCAACCATCGTAAATATGAGTCAATTGCCAAGCATTCACATTTTGATCACATGACCATGGGGATGCTTCAGCTGTTCTAGGTGTGAAAAACAGTCATAATTCCTTTTTCTCAGTGCTATTGTAGCTTCAAACGGTCACTAAACAAGCTGTTGTAAGTCTATGACCTTAACGTGTTTGAGCAAGTGTTGAAGATACACTAAGGGGGTCTCCAAACTGGGCAACTTTAAGACTTGTGGATTTCAACTGGCTAGGGAATTCTGGGAGTTAAATTGGCCACATTTGAAGACCCCTGTGATAGACTATCAGTTTCAGTTCAGTATCTTATAATGCTAATACAATTAGGCAAAATCTGTATAAAATCAGTTCAGTATCTTATAATGCTATTAGGCAAATTATAATGCGATTAGGCAAAAGTATGTCAGTTTGTGAGTATTAGAAATCCATGAAACATTTGATGGCCCAATTCATGGAAGAAGAGAAATAGGAACATGTGGGACATATCCACAGATGGTATGATTAGGTGCCGGAAGAATGGGGCGGGGGACGGGGGGGGGATCAACAGTTTTCCTGTACAAAGGATCAGCAACTAGGCCATGACCAGCTGCCAATCATCTGACTTAACTAAAAAAAGAGGAGATCTTCTCACTTGTAAGCCCTTTCTTAACTCTAGAAGTAGGAAGAGTAGGGAGGCTTAGAATTAGAACAGAGTTCACATCTGTTCAGCTTGTATCATGACATGCATACACAAATACACTTAGAGTTGATAAGGTTAGAGATTGAAGTTCAAAAGGAAAAAGTGCTTCTGATTCATCAGAATAAAAGGAAGAAAGTCCTTTTATATATCTAGGATATATAAATCATACAAAGCTTAGTTGTATTACTGAGTTTTGTCAATAATCTGAATTAAAAGGGGGCAGAAATCTGGAATATTATTTTTCCACTGACTTTTTCAGTCAAATCTTTCAAACCCAGGTAGACAGCAACTTGGTTTCAACAGCTCAGCTCTTTGCCCAAATAGAAAGAAGGAAAATAGATCACAGCCATAGAATAGAATAGAATAGAATAGAATAGAATGGAATAGAATAGAATAGAACAGAACAGAACAGAACAGAATTGAATTGAATTCTTTATTGGCCAAGTGTGATTGGACACACGAGGAATTTGTCTTTAGTGCATATGCGCTCAGTGTACATAAGGAGAATAAAATACATTCATCAAGAATCATAAGATATAACGGATAGTCATAGGTTACTAATGAGCAATCAAATCATACTATGAAACAAATAAAACAATATAAATTGTAAAGATACAAGCAACATGGTTATAGTCATAAGTGGGAAGAGATAGGTACTATCTCTTCCCACTTATGGATAAGAAGAATAATAGCAATACAGTCTTAGTAAATAATTTGACAGTGTTGTGGGAATTAGTTGTTTAGCGGAGTGATGGCATTCGGGGGGGAAACTGTCCTTGTGTCTTGTTGTTCTAGTGTGCAGTGCCCTATACAACTATATTATACTATATTACTGGAAGTCATCAACTTCTTCATCAGCAGCACCTTGAATCTCTAAAGTAGTGTCAAAAAATGAGAACCGAATATAAACTTCATCTCTGCTAAGAGGTTTGTTGGCTTTTCACAGAGCAACTCTTAAAGCAGAAGAACTTATGGGCAAGTTTAATTGGTTTTTTTAAAGAGGCAAAGGAAACCAACTCTCAGAACAATTTGAAATAGAAGAGTTCATTCATGGCTTGGTTTACTTGACAGATACAATTTTGGGCCAGGGTACATTTTGTGGGTTAAGGCCCTGCAAGCACCACTGTGGATGCTGCTAAAAAAAACACCACATGAGATGTTTAGCCAAACTGCAGAGAATTATGCTAAATGTCTAGTCCTAAATAAAGGGTTTATTGCAGTCTGAAGTTAAGGAAGACAAAAGACAGCTTTTCTGCAAGCAGAAGTCTTGCAGATATGTGGAAACTTTGTATGATTCTTTTGAACATTGCTTCAAAACTGAAACACAGATTGGAAATCATGTCTTTTTTGACATGGAGAGCATCCGTGATTCAAACTTTGCCACTTATTGACTTGAGGACAATAGAAATTAATTCAACTCAAAGTGTCATGTAGACTTCTGGAACTCCTTGATATAATCTTAGTTGTATATAACAAAGTAACCTATAACTATTCTAATTTTGTTTACCATTACATACCTTTAGAGCACAGTTTATAACAGTGGTTGCCTTCAGTCTGAAAAATTGAAAATAATTGACTGTCAGAAATCATATGTCATGTTAAAGACTACACTATAATTTCAGTTTATTCAAGCCAAATAATCACAGTCTTTTCATTAAAATTTACTTTTGAGCAGGGTTAAAGTTTAGATTTTATGTTATTTGCACACTGAGTTTATTTCAATTTGTTTAGAAAACATCAATTAATATTTGTATTAAAAGTGAGAGAAATTTTATTCTTTGTAAAAATATATATATATATATATTCTATCTATATGAACAAAATCATTTTCCAGTGCAAAAAAATAAAGTCTGGGCAACATTTTATGTGCATGTGTTTATGTACATTTATCTCTATAACTTTGATCAGATTCATTGGCCTCCAAAAAGAATAACTTGTTTAGAGAAATTATTTGATAAAAGTGAAATAGGCTTGTATTATGAAACAAATTGCACAAATATGGATTTGAAAATTGGTTACTGAATAAAAGTAGTATATGCTGGCTGCAAAAGACACATGGGAATAAATGAAAAGCTTAGTGAGTGGTTCAACATTGACCAGAAAATAAGAAAAAAAAAACCAATGTAATGTCCCATAATTTATGGGTTAAGTAGAGGCTTAGCCTGATCTTAGAGATGTAGGGATATTTGTTGAAAGAAGCAAAAATCATCCGTTTAAGAACATGAGTCTCTTATTTGGAAATTGAAGCTGGATATGTCAGGAGAAACAAAATGAAGTTGAATACAATGGATACTTAAGAAATGTGTGGTAAAACAAGAAGAAATGGGGTCAAGAATGAACAGGTTTTGAATACATGTGAAATGAATACAAAAGTGCATGAACAGAATGAAAGACATGCATTGAAGTGAAGGGACAATATAGATAGAATGAATGAGAACAGGGTCACTAAACAGATATATGAAAGGAACTTGAATAGGTCAAGAGGAAGAGGAAAACTGAGGAAATCATGGCCGCATAGCATTAATGAGAGGATGAGAAAAAGGTGAGAAGTTTAAAGGAGAAGAGATAACATGCAAATGGGTGCATGAATCTTATAGAAGCAATGGTTGCTTGCAAGGTAGGAAACAGGAGTGGTGTACAGGTGGCCTTCAACTTACAATCATTTGTTTAGTGACCATTCAACTTTACAACAGCACTGAAAAAATGCCTTATGGCTATTTTTCACATGACCATTGCAGCATCCCCATGGCCACATGATCAAAACTTGGGTGCTTACCAACTGTTCATTTTTATGACCCAGTGTCCCAGGATCATGTGATCCCCTTTGGTGACCTTCTGACAAGCAAAGTCAATGGGGAAGCCAGATTCACTTAGCAACCGTGTTACTAACTTAATCGCTGCAGTGATTCACTTAACAACTGTGGCAAGAAAGGCCATAAAATGGGGTAAAAGCCACTTAAGAACTATCTCCTAGCAATAGAAATTTTGGGATAAATTGTGGTTATATGTTGAGAATTACCTTTAGTGAACGGTATTGGTCACCTCCTAAGGAGAATAGAGTGATGGCATGCATAAGCATACGATATCAGGGGTGAAATTCAGCAGGTTCTGACAGGTTCTGGAGAACCGGTAGCGGAAATTTTGAGTAGTTCGTAGAACCGACAAATACCACCTCTGGCTGACCCCAGAGTGGGGTGGGAATGGAGATTTGCAGCATCCTTCCCCTGCCACGCCACCAAGCCATGCTTACAGAACTGGTAGTAAAAAAATTTGAATTTCACCACTGTATGATATATTAATATTTTTATAGAATCTAGTATGTGCAGGAGACTCTGCCTTTTCCGAAGAGCAGGTAATCCGCAGGAGATTTTTTATTTATTCGTAAAATAGATTTATGTAGCCCAATTCGCATACAGTGACTCCAGGCGTACAATCTTATCCACGGTTTAATTTCAGAGGATATCGGTTTTCTCACAGCTGTCTTTTCTTTTAAACGTCGTCTGAAATTAGTAAAAACACAAATGCCCAACCCTCGTGACCACTTGCAAATTCAAGCCTTTGATTTAGTTGTTTGTTAGATTTATACTGTGCCTTTCATACCTGTGTCTGTAATATCATTCCCCAAACTCTGTATCTCTTCAGAAGCCCAGTTGATTTTGGAATACCTGAGGCATATTTTTTTAAAAAAGAAAAAAGGAAGGAAGGAAGGAGAGAAAGAAAGAAAAAGAAAGAAAGAAAGAAAGAAAGAAAGAAAGAAAGAAAGAAAGAAAGAAAAAAAGAAAGAAAAAAGCGAAGCATTTTTCTAGTGTTAGAAAACAAAGGTGAGGATCATATCCATTGAAGAGCATTAAGTACTCTCATTTTCTAAAGATTTCTAAGCTGTTGTATTAACTGTTGGGCACTGCCAGCCAAATACACTTCAGAATGCACTCTGTTGCCAAGGTGCCAGGCAATCTATTGTACCCAGCTGCATTGCTTCCAGCTGGAATCTTCACAAAAGCAGACAAGTGGGTCAAAACGAAATCAAAATGAAAATCGATCCCCCAGGTGTTCTTTTCATTCTCTCTTCCAATCTGCTTAGGCCAATCCCAGAGCTGTTGCAAGCACACAACAACTAATTTTGTTTTTTCCCCTCTTTCTCACCCCAATCTCACTTTCCTACTTCCATATGCACCTGGCAAAATACATTTACAATTGCTGTGTAACTGTGGCTGCCAGCATTAAGTCCTTGTTATTGATTGGTTAAACCATTGATTGGTTGGCGGGTGGGCGTACTGGCTGCCTCCTCTTTTTCCTCTTAATATTATAAGTAGACCAAACTTAGATTTCCCCGCCCCCCCCCTGTCAATTATTCACTTGTATTGCTTAGAAAAAATAACTGTTTTTGACCACAGACATCCACTCTTGTTGGCAGTAGTGATGACATAGACCAGTGATGGCTAACCTTTTTGTCATTGCATGCTGCAAGTGTGCGTGTGCAGCAGCACATGCAACACCCCCATGTGTACCCCAACCCCCATGCATGCATGTGTGATCGTCCTCATGCATCCCACACACACACATGTATCCCATCCCCACGCATGGCAGAGACCCAAAAACCAGCTGGCCAGCGGGAGGTACGCATGCATTCGTGGTAGAGCTGACCTGCCACCTCTGGCATGCATCCATAAGTTCGCCATCACAGACATAGACCTTATGGCAAGTTCCACATAAAGAAAGCCAAATAATTACCAGCATCGGCAAATGGTGAATGCAGAGTTTTTACTGTAAAGTGTAGACAAAATATTGATTGAGAAATGCCTAGAGGCTGGATTGTTCCAAGCTGCATCTCCCCAAGGTTACTATGCTGCAAAGAGAAAACACTCCCCCACCGAAATTGGTACAAGCCACCAACAGAGTCTGAAACAAGACATGGAGTGACACCAGGGGTGAAATCCAGCAGGTTCTGACAGGTTCTGGAGAACCGGTAGCGTAAATTTTGAGTACTTCAGAGAACCGGAAAATGTCACCTTTGGCTGGCCCCAGAATGGGGAGATTTTGCAGTATCCTTCCCCTGCCATGGCCACCAAGCCACGGCCACCAAGCCACACCACATCCACCAAGCCACGCCCATAGAACGAGTAGTAAAAAAATTAGAATTTCACTACTGGGTGACACCCTCAGAAGAACATTCTGATTGGCCTGCCAAATCTGTTAAGGTAATCACTATATTTATCAACATTTTCAGGTTGAGTACAAAAAGAAAAAGATGGTGAACAATCTTCAACCCAAAGTGGAAACTGAGGTAAAAAAAAGCTGATTGAGTTCCAATTTATTTCTAATTTACACATTAGGTTGTAAAAGTGCGATATTATTTTTGTTTTCAACAAGTTTTTTATTTTATTTCCAAAGTTAAAATACGACATAAATAAACCTTCAAGATTCGGTTGAATTTCATGCCAAAATAAATATATAAAATACGACATAAATAAACCTTCAAGATTCGGTTGAATTTCATGCTAAAACAAGAACTGCTTACATGTCTTATTCAATGGGGGAAAGTTTTCTAAATCAAAGAATTTGGGCTTTGTTTCTTTTAAAACTTTCAAAGTGTTTGGTTGAGATATATACATCTCTTGCTACTTTCCCAAAAGGTAGTGTTTGAAACAAATGTTTAACAACTTTTTATTAAGTCATTTTATATATTGTCTATTGTTACATTTAATACGTTTTAATATATACACATATAAAATGAACCTAAACATTGATAATAGTATGCAAATCCTAAACTTGAAAGCAATGAATGCCACCATCAGCAAATTTCAGTTACACTAGAGTGTTAAATCACATGCCCCCTCAACCAAAAAATTGCAGCTGAAAAACTCATGCACAAAGACTGATAATAAAATTACATTAATAGCACCTTTGAGAAGCCCAGAGCAGAAATAGCATTCCACCAAAGGGGTAGCTCTGAAAATAATATGATTTAATTATGGTCATTGTTGATAAAATTTCCTATGGACTCTTTCATATTTTCTACCAGGAAAGCATCTCTGAATTAAATAATCCAAATAAATAAATAACTACTCCCCAAATCCCTGCTCTAATATGTTTTCAAGGCAACCCTTCCAGCATCTAACCAGAAAAATAAGCACCAAACTCCCATTTTTCCCTGTTGAAATTCAAAAGAAAAGTAATTGTTGCTCTGGAAAAAAAATGTACACACAGATAGCTACAGCCAGTGCGGGCATCTACTTCATTTTTATGTTAATGAAACTTTCGCTCAACATAGTCTCCCATGATTCTTGCCTTTCTTTCCCCACCCTTTGAGAGTTCTTTCTCTCCCCAAATCCCACTGTGACAGAAGTGCAATAATAAACCAATAACAAACAGGGGAAGTTTCACACCTGCTCAGAAACCCTGGGGGGAATTAAAAAAAACCAACATCCACACTCTGGTGTGACCTCTGGGGTCGTACGGGTCAGCTGGTGAGAATGCCGCTAATTCTGGGACCAAGGCTAATGACAGAGCAAGGTGGCCTGCTGAGAGGAAAGCCCCAAGCTTTAGATCAATGTGCCTATCATCCTAAGTTCAGAGCCTAACCAAATCACTGCTTCCTACTCCTGACACTTGCTGAATGCAACAAAGGAAGAAGGGAAAGGTGAGAGTGAGAAAAGGGGCTTTATTCACAAGGCTGTCGCTGCGGAACGGCTGAAAGGACACTCCTTTTCCTTGATATCAACTCTATGACAACCAATTAGCCAGGCGGGAGGATATTGGCTGCCTTTATAAAATACGCAGGATCTAGACTTCTCTTATTCATGGTTAGCTTTTCATAAATATCCCCTGCCTGACAAAGCCTCCTCCCTCCCTCCTTTTGCCCATTAATTATATGGTGGGCTATTACAGGTTTTTGTTTTTTTAAGGCCGAACAGTTTTATTTCTATTAATTCCCAATAAAGACACTTTGGGGGGAAACGAGCTTCGGGTTTCCAGCATTCCAGGTTGTGTGGAGTTACCTAACTGACACTTTTATCCAATTGTATTTTGCTGTTATTAGAAAAATGTGCAATTCCCATCAGAGAAGGTAAAGATCTCTTCTCTTCACAGTCCTGCAGTGCAAAATTTACATTTCAAGAGTAGATGACAATCCTAATTTACTCTTGGGAATTAGTAAACACTGCCATCAAGAGAGTGCACTGCTCCTCAAGGATAGGTGTGGGCAGCTCCCAATCCATGGTCATACCTAGACTTCAGAGCAAGTGGTTTGCCAAAATGCAGTAGCAATAGAGTATATTTCTTCAGTAATACAATATATTATTATACCCATTTATTATGATAAGCATATGTTTTTTTTCTTTTTTAGGCAAAAAGTCCATAAAGAGTTTCCAGTCACAAATGAATGTAGATTTTCTTTTCCCTAATTCAACAACTCAATTTAGCCATTTCAACAAGTTCTGTCATCTTCACCCCAATGCCTCCTTTCCATGCAATAATCTTGCTGTAGTTATCATAAATAGACAATAAGTGTTCTGTGATTCTTTTCTAACTGTTTAACCCTCAGAGGTTTTCAGTAATCCAATATTTTTTTTATGGCCAGAGGTCCAACTGCAGTTGTCATATAATATTCCCATGCCACCCTTGAGACCCTTGACCACTGAAAAAAATTAAGAGTGAGTATGTATGTATGTATGTATGTATGTATGTATGTGCCATGGCGAGTCAAGACCCCACATGGAATGTACCAATGACAGATAGCTGAGGCGGGCAGCCATTGGAAAATCCTACCAATGGCTGGAAAGGGCTAGACTAAAACACTAGGCACAATCTAAAAGACTAAGACTAGGCACAATCTAAAAGACTAAGGCATAATCCCAGAAGCACAAGAACAGGCAGTAAGCACCAAATTCATAAAAGCTGAGGTCTACCACACTAGACAGGAACCAAGATGAGACTATGCAGAGGGGCTTCAGAGAAGGGTCCAACAGGTGCAACTGTATGCTGCAGGTGCAGTATACATTAAATGGCACAAACAAATACCTCATATAGCGTACAGGAACATTTACACAGTGTACATTAGAATTAGACCCTCCCAAATCC